CCCAAAGTGCTTCTATAAAAACTTTTCTACAATATGGATCTTTTTTCCTCTTTCTTTTATCTGTTTAGGATGTATTTCACCCATATGATTCGTGTTGTCGCTGTTCAGTCATTTCAGTTGTGAGTCAGTTGTGTCTGACTCTCCATGATCCCATGTGAGGTTTTCTTGGCAGAGATACTGGAGTGGTTTGCCATTGCTTTCTCCAGCTCACTTTATAGATGAGAAAACTGAGCCAAACAGGGTTAAGTGATTTGCCCAGGGTCACACAGCTAGTAAGTATCTGAGGCTGGATTTGAACTCAGGAAGTTGAGTCTTCCTGACCCCAGATCTGGCACTATTTCCACTACACCACCTAGCTGTCCTTCCCATATGGCTTCTAACCATTAGATTCTAACCATTAGAACAATGTTTTCTAACATGAAACTTCTCATAAATCACATAAGTATTTCCAGCTATATGACTTCATTATTCCCTTGCATTTTCCTCTATTTTAGATTCTATACAACATTGGCTCATGAGTGAAAATAATCTTGTATTGACTGTATGAGATATCAGGCCTTAACAGATGTGTCTATTACGGTAGGTGGAAAGGAATGAAACCTTACCACTCCATCTTTAAGTCAAGTGCATGCTTTAAGTCAAAATATGCATGTTAGACAAATATAGGAAAAATCACCTATGAACAATGATTAACCAAGCTCTCCCTTTCACGGGAAGCATTAGGCAGAAAACAAAGAGAAACATTGAATAACTTGCAGTTGCCAGACTAATTTGTAGACAACTGAAGCTTCTGTCCAGCAATTTTTTGCTACACAGTGGATAGAGTATGAGGCTTGGTCTTAGAAAGACTCAAGTTCAAATCTGCCTCAGACATTTGCTACCTGGAAAAAGTCACTTAATCTTTTTATGCCTCAGTTTCCTCAAATGTAAAATGGGGATAATATAGCACCTGTCTCCCAGGGTTGTTGTAAGGATATTTGTAAAGCACTTAGGATAGTCACTGTCATATAGCAGGTGCTTAATAAATGCTTCCCTCTTTTCTTCCTTCCTTTTTTCTCTTCCTTTATCTATTTCTTTCCTTCCTGTTGTTATTACAGATTTGTGACTTGGATTTACAATTCTGTGCTATAAACCATCAAGAAAAGCAAAAGTCACCTTTATTAAAACAATATGGCAGCAACACTGCCCTAGCCCTGAGCAAGGGCAATTTCTATTTCTATTCACCTCAGAGAGAGAACTGGGTTTATGAATGTGAAGACCCTCTCAACCTTAGGTTATAAGGTGACTAATTAGTCCACTTACCACTTATACCATACTTTTCATCTTCAAAGTGCTTTCTGGGACTTAAATAATCTTCATCATATTTCCGCTATAATCACAATGATCATCTCCAATTTATGGAGGAGGAAACTGGAGACAAAGAGGTTACAAGCCATGCCAAAGACTATTAAGGAGATCCGTATGAGAGGTGAAATTAAAACACAAAAGCTGTTGCAATGCCCATTTCTTGGTTCAGACCATTTTACCACACCTTGACCATACTATTTTCCCACCATCTGTGCCAGCACAAGAAGATAAAAACACTATTCAGTCCACATTAGAGTGAGAACTGAAAGGATTGCCATTTGCCACTTACAAACACTTCAGACTTTTTTCCCACAGTAATTCTCAGTCCTTGGTTACCTCACCCAGACTTTGTTCATTAAAAAAAAAAAAGTTGCTCAGATGATTCTTCCCACTGTCTTCTTCTTTATCCATCTCCCAATGAAGGTGAAGCACATAGAATTCCCCTCTTGTGCCCTCAGTAGAACAAGTCAGTGTGAAGGTGCCTGTCTGAGCGTGCACGGTGCCCTGGGCAGCAATGATGGTTCTCTCTGAATTTCCGCTATGAAACATGTCAACTGCTGCTTGGCAATCCTTTTATTCATTTCTTGTTGGTTCCCCAAGTGCATGCCTCACAGCAGCAATTCCAAACCTGTTCTATTCTTCCTAAATCCTTAATCCTACTGTTCCACGCCCCAACTCCACCCCTCTTAAAATTTTATCCTATCTTGGCTTACATGAGAATATACTTGCCTTAGTTTTCTTTCTCCACCTTTTCTGCTTTTCTTTCCTCCTCCTGAATAGGTATGGCCCAAGGTCTTTAGCCTTTTGTCTCAACTCACCCTCACTGATATCTACTTTCAGTTTCAACTATCATCATTATGTTGATGATTCTCAAATATTAATTTTCTGTCACCAAAAAATGGCATAAATAACTGTTTCACATGCACATATTCTATGTTCCTGTACTCCTCTAAAATACATATTTTTACACATAGCAAGTTGGATTAGGTGACCAGGTTTCATTCCATCCATATGTTATAATATACACATTAACTAAGGTCTAATAACTTATAAAGAGCCAACATTTGATTATTTTTACTAATGAACCAGTGGTGTGTAGGATCTAAAACAATGGAAAATGCAAAAAATCATTTCCATTTGGCTTTGAAATAATTTGGGGGAGGTAGAGTGAGAGAGAGGGGTAAACCACTATCCCAATCTAATTATATTTTGCTAATGACAATATTAAAGTTCTGTTAGAACTTTGTGAATACAGTACTCATAGGCAGCCTCAGACTGAGTCAAAGTGAAAGCCTTTCTCAGAAATAGTCATTATGCTGACAAACATGTTATGCGTTTCATGCTGACATCATTACTACCCAGGTTGCTCCACAGATCACGACAAGAAGCTGGGAGGATTCCACATAAGCCAATTCCCTTCCTATTCAGACCTTAGGCCCCAAAGCATACCTGGGTAGCAGAGGGAAGGATGCTGATATTCCATACATTACTCATCATCACTGGGGAGATATATGTGTGCATACACATTATAATATGCATATATAATATATGCATGCATGCATGCATATATATATGTACATGTATATGTATATATGTGTACATATATACACATATACAAACATGTACATAAACACACTTGGACAAAATGTGTTTTTTTCTCACATATTTATGTGTATAAAAGAAATCTGTTAGCTTAACAAACTAAGTGACTTATGTGACTGTGAGCATATCACTTTGCTTCTGTAGGCGTTGGTTTCCTGACTTGTTCCAAAAAAAAAAAAAGAGTAATTGATTAGAAAAGATAATTGCTAAGCTTGCTTCCAGATTTGGCATTCTTTGATTAAGTTTTTAACCTTCTCAGGGATCCACCTCTCAGGACTAATTCATAAGTAGTTACAGAATCATCTTCCCTCACCAACTTTCCTTACACTAATTAGTAGCTATGGAAATGGAAATTACTTACTCTAGTAATTTCAACTTTACTACTGTTGAATGATTTGCATATTGATGGAGCCACGGAGGTCCCAGAAAGTCCTAAGACTGCATTCCTTTTCCATGTCCCACACATTTCCACTCCACTTAACTGGATGTGAAATGTGTGCTTCTTCTATCAAAGCCAATATTTATTCATCTCACCTAAGAAAAGCCTTTCCCTCTTGTCTAAGTAATGATTCCAGCCTAGTGGACCATGGTGATTGAAGTTGGGGTGTAATGGAAAGACCACTGGCCTGGGAGGATGAGAACTGGTTCCGTCCTAAATCTACTATTAATTAGCTAGGTGGCCTATTTATTTCATGTCTCAAAGTCTTAATTTCCTCATCTGTAAAACAATCTCTAAAGTTCCTTTGAGCTTTAATCTTCTACAATTTCTAGGCGTTGGAGAGGATACCCAATCTTCTTCCCCAATTACTACTACTACTATTTCTTTTCCCCCCTCCTCTTCTTCCTCTCCTTGTCCCACTTCATGCTTTTTGTCTCTACCCATCTCTCACAGTCTCTCCAAGTATCAGTGTCTCTGTTATTCTCTATGCCATCTCTTTTGGCCTTTCTGTCTCTTGCTTGCATGAATACACACACACACTCACACACACACACACACACACACACACACACACACACACACACACACAACACTGTGTCCCTTGCTGGATAAGAAATAGGAGAGCTAGGGTGCAGACAGAGATTGGGAACATGCAAAAGGCAAAGCAGCTATCTAATAAGTCTCCAATTTTATCACCTCTGGAGTTATCGTTTTTCCATCACAAAAGGACATTAAACTGTCAGCTCTAGAAGTAAAGGTGACAGAAGCCACCTTCAAAGAAACATTGTTTCACAATCAGCAGCTTAAAAATTTACAGCCTTGTCTTTCTGTTCACACAAAGTCTCTTCTCTACTCCATCCAAATGAGAGCAGAAGATACAACAGGAATGTTTCACCCTGGGAGAAAGCAGCCTGCTGTGCACTACACTTCCGCTAGTGAAAAGAGGGGGGTAGTTAGCTGATTATATGTCTACATATTGAAAACAATCAAACAAATGAAAAACAATGTAGTTAGTTCAATGTGTGCCTCCCTAATGGAAAATAAGGAAAAAGTCTTTCCTCTTAATGAGTGTGAAAAGTAAAGTTTACTTACTATAAAAGTCAGGACTCTTCACTTCTTTCTCTACAATTCTTATTTTAATGAACTTAATAGCATAATTATGTTTTAACACCTAACATAAACTCAACTAACTTGTGGCATGGAAAAAAAAAAGCTAGTTGGACTAGCTTCACATTTAAACAGAGCCTTCCATGATGAAATGAATGGAGGACAACCCTTATCTGCCTCTGTCTGCAAGAAAATATTAACACATGAATTTAGATAACACAATAAAAACACAAAACAAAAAACCAAACCTACTTTCTGAAGTTAACCCCCAACATGGTATATTCTACCAAGTCACAAGCAATAGAATATCAAGTTAGGAAGTGAAGCTCGGCTGCTATCTCATGAACATTATCTTTTAAATGTGCTTAACCACACTCCCTTTGAATTGCATTATTCAAGTCCTGGCCATAAATCACAGATTTCCAGAACTTACCAGTTCCTTCCTTTTGTCACCTGAAAAATTCCCCTTCCAACCAGAACACAAAGAATAAATCTTTGCACCCACCTCCTTTTCTTTACACCTGGTCACTGCTCTCATCAGCCTTCTTTCCATCCAGCCAGAAGCTGTGTCGGTTTTTACTGGAATAAGAGAAATCAATTTGAGTCCCTTTACCTAATCTGTTCCTCGCCTTTCTTCCTACACTCAGCTCCCTTATAAAATGTCCTGACTCGAAAACGGAGGTTCAGTTCAGCTCAGTGAGAGTGATTAAGCAATTTATAAACCGGCTCAGAGAGCCTGCTTCTAATTGCTATGACCCCATGGACAAGTTTCATTCTTACTTCCAGAAGGCAGGGGAGGCTGGCCAATGCTTCATACCAAACACACTCTGGGCTTGTTCCTGCATTGAACTTTTTGGAGACAACAATCACTTTTTTTTTTAAACCAGGTCAATATGAGATTGTAAAGGTGAAAATTTTTCAGAGTTCAAGCTACAACCTCAAATGACTCTCCTAGATTATTCCTCCATTAGTTCACTGACAGAAGCTTTGGCTCTAGTCCTCAAACTCACAAAGGCAAGGCTCACTGGACACCACTTCAAAGAGTGTAAGGGTCAACATTCCTCAGGCGTAAGACCTAGGAGGCACACAGCAGAATTATCTTGCCAAATATTTCTGTCCATTATTCCCAGAAAAAAAAATACAGTATGTATGGAAGAAGAAACAATAGGTAAAACCTCAGCTCCTCCCTCCCCCCAAACTCCACAAAGTACCCTCATAGCTTTCTTTCCTTTGGAGCTATTTTTAAAAGCACACAAACAAACCTCAGTTATACATCTAGAATTGACTCCCTAGCAGCTAATTAATAAATAAATCCTTAATAAAAGGATTTGTTCTGTGAACTTTGGATTCAGTCAAAGGGCAGCATTGAGGACCTAGGGGCCAAATGTGGCTTCAAGGATGCAGGTTCCCCACCCCTGCCCTAGTCAATCTCTATTTTTTTGAAGTTATTCCCCTCTCTCAAGGTCCAACCCCGGTTTGATATCCTTCATAAAGACCTCTCTGACTCTCCCTCCACCCCTAAGTGAAAACAGCCTTTCTCTTTCATTCTCATCACAGCACTTTACCCCAACCAATACTCTGTACTTACTTCATTCTATCTGTATCTTAGATATTAAAATGTAAGTCTCTTAGAAGCAGGGTCTTTGTCCCTCCTTTAGCTTGCCCCTGTATCCCCAGCATCCAAAACTGGAAAGATGGAAATACATCTGTGTAGATGAGAAGAGCTAAAGAGACACAGAAAGCAGAGAAAGAGGAAACATGGGAGAACAAGAATGAATAGGATAATCATAGCTTTATTGTGGGTTCACCTTGTACCAGAAAAACCATCCCAACAAGGACAATTGGGTTATGAAAATTTCTTTTGGGCACTCAAAGCCATATGCTACAGGGCTATTAGATGCTGATAAAGGAGGTCTATTCCAGGAGATGAGTAAATCAAAACTAAGCTTAGAGACCCAAGGAAAGAAAGTGAGATTGAGAATTATTTTAGAATATTATATAAGCAAAGAGTCTCTGAGTGTATAAATATTAGCAATTGGGAAGAAAGGATGGAGGCAAAAAAAATAGAAGCTATAATTGCTATTAGCAAAGACTGTGAAATCTAGATAAAGTCCTTGCCAGTTGTAAATTCCTTTGATTCTATGATTACATAGCATCCACCCTAGAAAAAGAAAAGAACAGTTTCAAAGAAATGTGAACAAAATACATATTAATGCACATAAAATCTCACTATAATTCTATCCTTGGAGTCTTAGCCAAAGTACCATACTTATAGGTAAAATAGGCTTATCATGGGTGACTTCTGATACTTTCAATGAATACCCTTACTCAAAGAATTTCTACAAAAAAATCCTCCTTATATCAAATGTGAGAATGCTTCATGTTACAAGAACATCTAATTAACAAAAAGAGAATATGTAAGAACTAAAAGAACATGGAGTTGTTTGTTAGGAGAGAGCAGAGTGGGGTTGGGTTACATAAGGAAAAATCTTGGAGAAGTGAATTTGGGTCTATTCTGTGAAAGACACACTGTTGAGCAAAGTGGGAAAGGTGTCTCCCAGCTGGGGGAAAAGGCCCAACAGTTTATTTCTTCTCTTCTAAACTGACCAACTCAAAACATAAGCCATCCAGATTCAGTAGAAATTCTAGTAAAGTAGTACTAAGTAGAAGAAACAATATGTACAGAGTTACAAGACCTGAGTTCTGATTCTGCCCCTTCCCAGCTGTTTGATCTTGGTCAAATCCCTTGAGTATTCAGCCTCAGTGGCTTTATCAGTAAAATGACGATAATAATACTTGCACCAACTATCTCACAGCGTAGTTTCACGTATAGCACTTTTTAAGTTGTAAAGCATAAATATGAGCTATTACCAATACTACCAGATCTTAGCCCCCAAGAGAACACAATTTCTTGTGCTTTTTATTAAAAGTAACTACAACCCTCTTTTTCTTTTCCTTTCTTGCTTTTCTCACTTCTTTGTTTCTTCAGAAGAGTTTAGAATGTGACAAATGAGTTACTAAATAATTGATCTCTACAGGAGGGAAGGGACCATGTACAGTTGCTGTTGTTCAGTTGTTTTTCAATCACGCCTGACTCTCTGTGACCCCACTTGAGGTTTTCTTAGCAAAGATACTAGAGTGGCTTTGTCATTTCCCTCTCCATCTCATTTTGCAGATGAGGAAACTGAGGCAAACAGCATTAACTAACTTGCTCAGGGTCACACAGCGGGTAAGTGTCTGAGGCCAGATTTGAACTCAGGGAGATGAGTCTTCCTGACTCCAGAGCCAGTGCCTTGTGCACTATGGCGCCACCTAGCGGCCCCATATGCACATATAAGGGACAGACAATGAAGCAGGAGAGGGAATATCCTGAGACATTCTAGTACCATCTTGACTTCACCTGCTTCTCTCTTCTAAAAGAAGCACAAGACTTGTTCTACTTCTTCTCTGAACCAGTCTTATCTGTCTCAGTTTCGTACTGCTGAATACCAAGAGGTTGTGTGTGCAGATAGGCTAGGGCCCACTCAGCTTTGTTGGAAAGGATGCGATAAGATCTGTCAGTCAAGCTTTGAGAAGAAACTTCCCTGCTTAATCACTCCTCCAAGGTTAATTTTCATGAGCTACTCTTGTGAAATGTGTATCAGTTGAACTACTTACAGAACAGTTAGGATTCAGTGGGACCTTGGAGAAAGGACAGAATTGAGGAAACTTGGCCAAATTTTGCGATAAGCAGCAGCCCGCTTCCACTTTTATAAATGTATTCCGTGTTTTTGGCTTCCTTTAGTCTAGGTAATTACATCTAGCATTAGATTAGAAGTGTCATGCTTTGGCAGTATCTAACCAAATTTATCTCTGGAGCTTTTCATAGCTGGGGAAGCATTAATCAAAATATCCCGTGAAAATGAAAATTTATTATGATGCACACCTTAAAAAACCTTTATACTGACTGTTTCCAAAATTGCTAAGAATTCATATGAATAACCTGCTCTAGGTGAACAGAAGGGTACTGTGGGAAAGTGTTATTTATGTTGAAGTTCTTTGGGTTCATTATACATGGGGCATGATACCGTTCACCAGGAGGCTCCCACTGTCTAATGAATACAGCTTCAAAGTAATCCATACCTTTGACCAAAATAAAGCTGAAAACAAAATAAGGAAATATTTATTAAGCACCTACTATGTGACAAGTGGGCAGCTAGGGGGCACAGTGCCTCACCTGGAATCAGGAAGACTCATCTGAGTTCAAATCTGTCCTCAGACATCTACTGGTTGTGTGACCCTGGCCAAGTCACTTAACCATGTTTGCATCTATTTCTTCATCTGTCAAATGAGTTGGACAAGGAAATGGCAAACCACTCTAGTATCTCTACCAAGAAAACTTCAAATGGGGTCATGATGAGTCGGGCACAACTGAAAGGACTGAATGGCAACAAAATCCCAAAAGAAAGATGATAATAAAAGTAGTAGCATGGTTTCTAGAAATCACAGTGAACAGTTAAGCTGTGAGTAATGGACGTACTTGTGGTAGGTAGAAAAACAACCTCAATTAGAGACCAGGCTAAGAGGTGTTAACAAGGGATTAGTGCCTAGAAGGGCCCCTAGCTAAAATCAAAAGAGAATTTCCAGGGTATTAGGTAAGGGGAATTGTGGAGAGAAATGTTCATGAATGTATCTCCTGTACCGGCAAGACATATGGAAAACATCTGAAATCAGGAGCTGCGAAAACTCTCATTTCAATGGCTTTCAGCATATTTTATTATATTGTACGCCTTTACTTGGTTTAAAATTTTCACCTTGCCTTTCTAAGAAGGGAGCAAAGTATAACCTTGACCTTCAGATATGTCAAAGATTCTTCAAGGTCACAGTCACTTTTCCAGGCGATTTTTCTTTTTTGTCCAAACCTGTGATTTCTTTAGCCTGAGAAACTTCTGGAATAGAAACTCCTTCTACCTAGGCAATCACAGAGGTCTACAACCTACCGTATCTGAGAGTTGCCTGATAAATCATGATCCCTAACCTGACATATGTCTGAAGTAAGACTTGAACCCCTGTTTTCCAGACTCCTAGGCCAGTTCACTCTGCACCTCTTCCAGCTGATTACTATACCCATAAATAGATCAGGTTATACTGACATAAGAAACACCTCAAGTCCTGAAAGAATGAGAACAGATCCAAAATGCGTCCATATTGTTTACTTGGCAGTATTCTTATGTGTAAAGATACTTCTCCTTTCTCTATAGTAAAAATGAAATCTATTTTGGAACATACATTTTTTAAAAAATCTATGCATTTACTTTTATTTAACTTAGGTCAACAGGAGTCAGTGTTTATAATGTAAGGCTTGGAGTCTGGAAGACCCAAGTTCAAATCTCGCCTCAGATAGTCACTTAAACTCCTCTGTGTCTCAGTTTCCTTATATGTAAAATCAGGATAATAATAGCACTCGCCTCATAGAGTTGTTGTGAGGATCAAATGAGAAAATACGTGTTTTGCAAACCATAAAGTGATACATAAATGCTAGCTATATTTACTAAATGAATCCACTGCATAGAGCTTCTAAGCTGTTTTGCTCACACTTGGCACATCAGTAAATGAACAGAAAAGTCATAAGGACTGCTAAAATACTTCATCCCTGGCATTGAAGGGCATTTTGTGACTTGAAGCAACAGTCCTCATGATTGTAGACTCACTTTCTACAGCAACTGCAAGTGTCTTACAAGACGTTTCTATCTTTTTTCGTCTCTTTGAATGAACTTTAACCCTGACTTACTCGGTTGCTCTGTGCATTCCCCCTAGCTTTAGTTCTGTAGATTGATTTCTAGACTGTGCCTAATTGGTCCTGGAAGCAAATTCGACCTTGAATTCATTAGGAAAAGAGCACTACAACTAAGAACTTATTTGCCTTGTCTCCAAAGGTGTTCCACATCCATTTGAAATAGCTAGAATTTTAATCTCCTTTTGGTAGGGAGCCAGAATTTAGAATTGTCTCCTGATAATTAAACTCTCTCTGTTTTTGGCATACCATTACAGTGGGCCATTTAGAGGGTATCAGGGATCGAAGTACTTACTGAAGATCTATAATTGGGCTAGCACACTGCTAGGCACTGTGGAGACTACAAAACAGGTCACAGTGTCCAACCTCACAGAGCTCCCTAAACTCACTGAGGATACAAGAGCCAGACATGTAAAACACTTAGAGAACAGAGCAACTCAGTATATCATTAAGCAACAAAACAGGTGATCTAGGGAGGCAGTTCTCAGAGTTTGGGCCAGAAACTTCTGGAGGTCCCTGAGATCCATTCTGGGGGTCTATGAAGTCAAAGCTATTTTAATGGTCATACAAAAACATATTCATTTTTAATATGGTAAATGGCGATAGATATTACCCACAAAAGCTCTCTTAGGGGTCCCCAATAATCCTTAATAGTGTATCTGGGTCCCGAGATCAATAAATTTGAGAATTGCTGGTCTAGAGTATAAAGAATTCAGAAAAAAATGAAACCAGTATGCTAAATTGATCAGAAAAGCTTCACGGAGGAAGAGACACAAAATTCATTCATTTGACAATTGCTTATTAAATGCCTACTATGTTACATCATTGTGCTAAAATGCAATGAGTGTTAAGATAGACTTCCTGTTGTCATAGAGCTTATAGATTAGGAAAAATCAAGGACTAAAGGATAAATAGGCATTGGGTAGGTGAAGAAGAGGAGGGAAATATTCC